ATTCAGGGTGAGGACTCAGGGTGGGGACAGAGCCGAGGGCTGGCTGACCCTATAGACCTTCAGTCCTGAGCACATGACATAACTTCCCCAACAGACTGAGAAGGTAAGAGGCCCAGAGCAGGGAGCTCTATAGCCAAATCTAAAGGCAGCTGCTCCCTCCGTCTCAAAGACGTCCTTCCTCAGGGCCATGCGTGCTCTTCCAGGTGGTTCCTGATCCCATTCCTGTGGTCTCCCACCTCACCCCATGCACTTCCCCTGCCAAGGGAGAAGCACTGGGCCTCTGCGGGCAGCCTGGGCTCTCTCGTTTGTGGGATCTGAGTAAGGGGCTGCTGCAGATGAGAAGAGCAGTCAGAGAAGGATTGCTGATGACATGTCCAGGCAGCTGTGCACAACAGTCTCTCTTGACCTCTGTGCAGCGGTTATAGTACAGATCACTCTTTTTTTTTTTTTTTAAAGCTTTTCTTCCTTATCTTCATGATCCCCCACCCTCCACCCCCACTGGCTCGTCTGTCTTGATCTGCTTCCCTGACTTGGCTCCCTCTGCCCTCCTGTAAATGGGAGTGATCCTTCAGTGGGATCTCTACCACTCACCTCTTCTCACTCCTGGACTCAATCGCACATCCATATATATCTCGTCCAACTACACCTTCAGCCCAGAGCACGCAGCTGAGGCTCAACTGTTTGCCTCTAAGTAACAGCTCAGAACAATAGCTGATATGCATACACAGTGGTGGGCACTGTTCCACGCATACCTGTGAAGGATGTACAGTTGTTCCCCCCATTTTACAGAGGAAGAAACTGAGGCACACAGAGTTGATGTAACTTTCCCAATGCTACAAGGTCAACAAGAGGTGAAGTTGGGGTCTGAAACTGGGCAGTTGGCTTCAGAGTCTTTAAGCTGAGCCACCACAGTCACCTGTCTCTGAGCCATGGGAAATGCAGCACGTCCATAAATGCAGTCCTTGTATCCCCCAGACAAGGGACAGTGGTGAGGAATCCCAAGTGATAGGAAAGCAGCCCATTCTCACAGCTCTGTCATGAGAAAATCCACACTGCCTTTAAGTGAAGTGCGAAGCAAGCCTGAACAGGGGGCAAGGAGGGGAATGGAGGTGGCATCAGGTCACCAAAAATGGGCATCAAAAGCAGGCCCAAGGGACCTGATTTTGTCCATTACAGAGGAGGAGGCAGCAGCTCAGGGACTGGAAACAAAACAGACAAAACCATGAGCTCAGAAGTCAACCCCAACAGTACTGAAGGTGTCACAGCCACCGCCAGGGCACTGACATTCTTTGATGTTTACTTTGGGGAGGAGGGAAATGCATTAGAAAGTGGACAACAAAGTTAACCAAGTAGAAAAGGGACGAAATGGGTAGGAGATTTGAAAGGGCTGCATGGGGAGAAAAGGAGCTGAAGCAGCAATTTGCATTTGTCTCTTTTTGTGATAATAATAATAATCTAAGTTAATATTTAATGAACATTTAGTGTGCATCAGGCACTATGCTAAAGGATTTACAAGGATTGACAGATAGGGGAAGTGAGTCGGCATTACAAGCCTTGGGTATGCTAATAATTGCCTTATTTAGCAGATAAAGAAATGAAAGTATATCTTAACAGATGCAGAAAGAGGCCCAAAGAGAATAAGTCTCTTGGGAAAAGTTGTACAGCTAGACATGGCGGATCTCAAATCCAGGCCAGTGATTGCCTGTTTATATGTTTTACAGCCCCCAGTTGGTTCATTGAGGGCAATGACTTTGTTTCATTTGTCCTGACAACTGCAGAAGCTAGCACAGGGCCTGGCACACAAGAAATGCCTTCACACAGTAGCTCAGACTTGTAGCCACTCCATACAATCTGTGTTGGTTGAGTGAATAATGGAATGACTGAATGTGCAAATTAATGGGCTGTTTTCTTGTGTGCTAACTGTGTATTGCTCCCCGGGATGCTGTGTATTGCTCCCTGGGGTGGGGTCTGGGTTTTGGTAGCTGGGGACATTTGTGGTTTTGTGAAACAGGGAAATTTTGAAACAGCCGTCCCTGTATCCATGCTGGGAGTGGAGCGGCGATCCATGGTGCAGACCCGCATCACAGTGCTGGTTTTTTCATTTTTGATGTTGGGAGGAAAGGACCTTAACCAGGGCCAGTGTGTGTACAGGGGCTGCGAGAGAGGGCTCTGCTCAAGAGAAAGAAATGGAAACCACAAAAGGAGCTCTCTGAAGAAAGGGCCATGGAGAAATAGATGCGGAGCTGAAGATACAGAGAGAAAAAATGGGCAAGTAGTGAAGGAAGGCCAAAGGGACAGAACAATGGGGTGGGGGTATATGGTCTGTGGCACGGGACAGGTGGCTGTGTGGGCTGGGTTACAGTGCTGCGCTGCAGGACGTCAGGCTGGGCCTCTAGCTTGCGGAGTGTAGGAACTGGGAGCAGGGGTGGGGGTAGGAAAGGGGAAGGGAAGGAGGGGATGGGCAAGCTATAGCTACAGTGAAGGGCCCCACTCCGGCATCTTGGTGTGGCGCCTTGTTAAAAGGCAGGAGAGGAGAGTAGCAGCGAGCACCGGGATGGGAGGAGGGGAGGGGAGGGGTCCGCTCTTTGGGAAAGCAGAAAAGCAGGAGCTTTGAAATGCGCGAGTGACTCAGCAGGAGCAGGAATCACAAGGGCAAGACCCATTGCAGAGAAACGCAGTGAAACAGAAGCAGTGGAAACAATGAAAACTGGAGAGTGTTGAGTTTATAACAAAGTGATCCGTGATGTTCGGTCTGTACTGCTGCTTTGGCTTTGGGGACAGGAGAACTGTAAACATGGATGACACATAAATATGATTTGTAACTTGGGGAATCTGGAAGGCTCAGACGAGACAACCTCCCTGAAGTGCTTTGGCAAGGATGAAGGAGGACATTTGTGGCTGAGAAGAAAGGACTCTGGGTGTGGAATCTGACAATGAGCTGGGAGCTAGCTCTGCCCCTGGGGGAAGGCCAGGCCCCTGGTCCCCTCACCTGCTCTGCATCCGCAGCCAGGCCTGGGGCAGCGGCTGACCTTTCGCACAATGGCCGAGGAACTCCTTCATTTCCTACGGCTGAGGGCTGTAAACTAGGTGGCTCAACACCAGAGCCACCTACCCTCTCATGGTTCCAAAGGCCAGGGGTCCAAAATCGAGGTATCTGCAGAACCTCGCTCCCTGCCAGGGCCCTGGGGCATCCTTCCTTGCTTCTCTCTGCCTCCAGTGTCCAAAGGGGTCCTTAGCTTGGGGTTTGAGCACTGCATTCTCTGCTCCACCTTCCTACAGCCTTCTCCCTATGTCTCTTAGGGGTGCCCTCTCCTCTTTAAGGGCACCCCTAATTGGACTTAGGGGCACAATAAATCTAGGACGACCTCCTCTCAAGACCCTTACCTAATTACATTTGTGAAGACCTTATTTCCAAATAAGGCCACATTCTGGGGTTCCAGGGGACATGGATTTGTGGGAGGCATTATTCAGCCCATCATAGCGTCCAAACAGCAGAAAAGTGAGAGTGCCGAATATATTTAAGATGTTTTCTGCATCCTTCTTCTTGCTCCTAAAAGGCCACTCTCCTGGTAGGGCCTCTTCCTGCACCTCGAACAGCCGCTATTGCCCATGGGATGGGGCCCAGTCTCCAGGCCCTGCCTGCAGGCTCTGGCTGCTCTTCCCTGTCTCTGTCACAGGGGCTTTCCCGCCCTTCCCACATCCTCCACCTTGTGTTCCCAGCCAACTGATTCCTCCTTAACCTACGGCCCAGCTTGAACCCCTTCAGAAAGCTTTCCCACAGGCCCAGACAGCAAATCCACACTGCTCTGAGCACCTCAGGCAGGCAGACACCATTCCCCTTTTACCTGGCAGTTCATCATCTCAGACGCCCTTTGATTCAGCCACCACTTATCTCTCGTCTTGCTACTTGACTCTTTATGAATTTAAGCATTTCCTTCTGCACCAGCCAGGCCTTGAAGACTGGAAAATTCTCTCTTTCTAGTTTCATTTTCTAGAATCCAGCTCTGTGCCTGGCACAATTCCAGGTTCTCTTCTCACTGTACCTCCTCTGTTCCTGACAAAATTTCATCTATTTCACCTCACGCATGGCTGCCTTTCCTGATCACCTTGTGTCCAGAAAGATGCCTTTCTCCTCTGAGCTCCTGAAGCATCAGGCCTACCCCACCCCGGTCTGGCCCACTGCACTGAGGCAGTGCTCAGGCCCTCATGCGTTCATGCACGAGGCTCATGAAGCACCTGCTCTGCCTGGCCCAGGGCTGGGCTCCAGCCAGTAAATCTCTCTCAGCCTCCCATTCGGTGGGCAAGCAAACTTTCTCACCCTTCTTTGTCTTCCTCACATGGCCTAATAGCTCTGCAAGTGTTATCCATGCTCAGTTCAGCTAGTTCTTAAAGGACACTGCCAAATGAGGGACTAAAGGTGCTGTGAGCTTCAGTGAGGCCCTCAAACTCCTGTGAGAAGGAGGCACAGAGAACAAGTCCGAGCTTGGGAGCCAAGGGGAAGGAGGAGTGGGTTGTGGGAAGTGGCCGCCGGCACTCCAGGTGGGGAGGGTGCAGGGGGCTGGCTCTGCCGTCAGCTGTCGCCACCATGGTGACTGCGCCTTCACATGGTGGCCTCTGGACAAGCCCCTGAGATGTCTTTCAGGGACCAGAAGGAAGCTGGCATGTGTTGTTCCTATCAGGACTTCCTGAGAACACAGGCGGGTCTGTGAACCAGGACAAAGGGACAGTAGGGCAGCTGAGGCGTGGCCTCTTCCATGCAGGGCACGATGGTGTGCAGTGAGGCAGGCTCGGAACACAAACTACATCCATTCCCCCAATTCAGCACCGGGGTCCTTTGGCCTTTTCTCCCATAGAAAGAAGGATCTGCACCTAAACCCCTGTGTCAAGGGGGATGCGGGGTGGTGAATAACAGCCAGCCCTGGTTCCAGGTGCCTCTGTGAGCCAAGCCTCTGAGACACCCTGGCAGGGACCGGGGCTCCTGGTGGGATAGGGTCACTCACCCGCATTGTTCTGCTGCTCTGTGTTTTTGATGTAAGCGGAGAACTTGGAGAAGATGTCGATGCCTGCTGTGTTAGATTCCCGGTGTTTCGCAGCCAGTCTGGGGTACCTGCAGTGGGAGATGCGGTGTTCTAGCATCAGTGAGAACTTGGAGCCCCTTGAAGGGAGAGCGTGTCTCCGTCACAAGAAGCACGGTGGGCAACGTGCCTGCGTCTGGCTGGATCTATACGTCTTTATGGGTTCTTCACCCAGGGAGGTGGTTCCTCTCAGCCCTGGTTCATGACAGAGAAAACAGACCAGTGAGGAGAGCTGCCCCGCTACACGGCCTGTGGGCAGGGAGCCAGAACACCATTCAGAGTGGACAGGATATGTCCTTTTCCTGGGACCACCAACAGGCGCCAATAAGGAGGCTTTGATCAAGGCTCTGAATGAGCTTGCCTCTATCAGGCAGGTCTCTGGCATTTCTGCAACCCACATTAAGGTAACTACCCACTGCCAGGCCTACAGTTATAATCCTAGCTGCACAGAGCTCATTCTGGGATAGGTACCTTGGCACCGAGGCCTTGAAACCATTTCTCAGAGGGAAGGGTGCCCCGATCTTCTTCCGAAATATCCTTCGCACACTTGTTATGTGTGTGCAGTAATAAGATGTGGGAAGTACCAGGCTCCATCAGCAGGGTGAGTGTTTTCAACTGTTTTATTTCCAGGCATGGAGAGAGATTTGCAATGACCCAGCCTCTTTCCCTGGACCAGTCTTTCATTCCAAAGCCAAAAAAGGCAGACTGGGGTTAGGATTATTTTCTATTGGCCCTAAAAATGTGCTTGTGTGGGAATCCATGGCTTTGACCCCGCTAGCACCATCTAAGTGAGTAATTTTAATTTTTAAAAGATACTACTTCACAAATATTTTATGCATATGGCCAGGCAGGGGTGGAAAGAGATGGGCCCAATTGCTTGCTTATCTTTATTATTAAGTATATGGACTTCCGTGATCTCTGGGTGAATAGCTGTTGACTTAGCTCTTATGTTTAAAAAGCAAAAAAAATTTTTTGGTTTGTTTTAATGTTTGAAATAATTTGAACCAAAAGCCTTTAAAATTATTTGCTGTTCTTTCCATTTTTTTGCTCCTCAATTGACCCATTACCTAGGACTGTCTTCACTCTTGACCCATGTCAGGTGGCTGTTCAATTTCAAATACTGCCATCGGGAGAGTCCTCAGAAAGTCACAGGGTCTGGCCCTCTGCTGTCATCACTGGGTGTAGCCCTCTGCCATCAGGCACACAAGGAAAGCATTATTGTCATCATTTTATGGGGAAAGCAACTGGAGACCAGAGGTTAAATGACTATTTAAGATCCCACAGATGACAAATAGTGAGGACCATGAGAACCGGCCTGCCCCTGGACCAGTGTTCTTCCTACTTGATCAACCTCTTCTCTGATATCAGCAAAAGCTAAATTTGATTGAGTGCCTGCTATGTGCCAAGCACTGTTCTAGCCCCTTTACATGTCTGCATCATTTATTCCTCACAATTGTATTGGTACTGTCATTGGCCTCATTTCCTACATAACAAAAATGAGGCACAGACAAGCAATTTGTGGAACATCATGTGGCTAGGTGGCAGAGCCAGGATTCCACCCCAGGCAGTTTCACTGTGGAAGCCGGCTCTTAAGTTCCCTGTCCTGTGGCTTCTCATCTATTCTCCTGTTTGCCCTCAAAGCTCCAAAGCCCTCCCTCTAGTTCAGCTGAGCGCCATGATGAACTTTCTCCATCTACCTGGAGAGGGCGCTCTGCACAGGTTCTGATCTGCACACGCATTCTTCCAGTCCTGGGAATTATCAAATGCGGGAATATAGGATCATTCTTCCCTATTTTGGCCTTCTCACGTTGAACCTGGCATGCTCTTTGAGTAGTCTTAGATTATTATTAATAAACATCAACTATTCTTTGTTTTTGCTTGATAAGGTAATGATGTAAAGAGAGAAGGGTCTAGAAAATCAATTTTCCATGGACTATTTGCATGTGTTGTTTTGTTATGCTTTATGTTACCATTTGATCAGACTTCCAGTAATCTCGCCATTTCTTCACTATCAGTGTGGGCCAAACACGAGTGGTTGGTAACAATTCCAAGGTGGATGATAAAGGGCCATGTGTTCAGAGAGACCATGGTAGTGCCATTCTGTTTTCTGAGCACAATGATTCATCGATACTTTATTTATAGCATAATGTCCCCCTTGAAGTTTGTCCCAGTGGGAAGTACATCTTTAAATCTTATTCTCACCAATTTTGGTAACTAGACTTGGGAAGGTGACTATAGCCAGCATGTTAAGTGCATTCAGTTTAGCTCCATATTTACACCATATTTTAAATATGCAACTAAATGGGCTACAGAGTACATTCTGTTCCTCTAAATACTAGAAAATAATGTTCATTCATAGAAACACATTTGCAATAAGATTGTAATGTTGTCTGATGACAATCAAAGAGCTGGTGATTTTTTTTCTAAGTCAGGGGTTAATAAACTATAGCCCATTGGCCAAATCCAGCCCAATATCTGTTTCGGTGCCTCTCATGAACTAGGAATGGTTTTAACATTTTTTAAATGATTGGAAAAAGTCAAAAGAAGGATATTGTTTTTGCAACAAGTGAAAATAGCATGAAAATCAAATTCAGCATTCATAAATAAGATTCTGTTAGAGCACAGCCATATCCATTCATTTACATATTGTCTCTGGCTGGCTGCTTTCACTCTACAACAGAGGAATTATGACTGAAAATATATATATCCCCCAAGGCCAAAAATACTATCTGGCCATTTACAGAAACATTTGCTGACCCTTGTTGTAACTGATGAAAATTTCTCTCCACTGTTTTCCAGATATCTTGCTTCAAATGCATTCACCTTAGATATACACATAAGCTTCAGTCTGGGAGGTAAAACAGCCAGCCTCTCATCCAAAAAAAAGTGTTTTTTTTAAGTAGTAGCAAAAAGTTAAAAAAGTGATTGCAGATGGAAGACATCTGACTGGCTTAGAGTCCCAACTGACATCTCACTGACTAGCCACAGGCCACTATGCCACTGAACAAAAGGAGCCCACACAGTGAAACCAACTGCATTAAGTGCCTGCCATGGGCCAGGCCCTGCCCCTGGTTTTAGAAATGCACTGGAGAAAAAGACAGACAGTCCTCCTGCCCTGATGTAGTGAACTTTGCTGGTTCTAGGGGCTCACCTGGCAGCTTGAGGCTTGACATTCCTTTTCCTCGTGAGCTGAAAAGTGTAAGGACTCTTGCTTTCCCCCTTCCTTTATTCCTGCTTCCACCTCTCATCAAAACCTCACTTGGGAAGCTGGTTAGTGCTTCTGACTTTTCTGATCCTCGACTGTGTGCTTGCTTCTCTTGACTTTGCTATTCAAGCAAATGACCCTTAGAAGGCTTGGCTTCTTTGAAAGCCATCTGTGGGATCTGTGGTATTAAGACCTATGGTTATTGATTGTCTTAATGATTGTATGTGGGCGACAGTCAAAAAAAGGAATTGACCTCTCTTTCTAACTCTTCAAGATGCTACTTAATGAGCTCTTGGTCTATGTCAGGCACTAGGCTAAGTAGTATTAACTTCGGTGACAGTCTTATGAGATCAAACATTCTGGTCATTGTTTTAAGATGTGAGAATTAAAGACTACAGAAGTTTTAAGTAATGTACCTATAGCAGACAGCACCTGTGCTCCTTAAATATCCATGTGTTTCTACCTCTCAGTTCGGTGGGAGTCATGTGACTGGATTCGGGCCAACAGGTTGGGAGGGGAGTGGTGTAACCACTCTGTGCCTTGGCCCTTGAGAACACATTGCACGAACCTCACATTTTCTCTGCTGAAGGAGTCTTGGAGGTCACATATTGCAAAAGCTACACTGTGGAAGATGGCCACACTACCTACTCAACTTTGCTTGAATGAGAAATAAATCTGGATTGTGTTAAATTACTGAGGTTTTGTGGCTAATTTGTTACTGCAGCACAGCACAACCTAGTGGTATGGGTTAGAATCCAAGTCATTTGAACTCCAGAGTCCATACTCTCAGCCACGGTGCCATCTTGTCTTATTACCGAGGCTGTTTCTTCACCTCCCAGAAGTTAGAAGAACATTCCTGTCTTTTACTATTATGAGCTATCTATAAACATTTCTTAAAATATGAATTCAAAGTGTCTGTCTGAATCCTGTTATACTCAATACATGCTTGATAGTTGACTGACTAAATGACATGCCATGTTACATTATCAATTTACCCTCCTCACTTCTTATCACAACATCTATTTGCTAGGATTCCTTTAAATAATAACCAGCTCTGGAAAAGCACTTTGAGAAAATCATGAGATCATAGAACTTCTGCTGAAAGGCATCTTAGAGACTATCTAGTTTCACCCCCTCACGAGGAAATGGGGACGTTCTGTGTAATAGACACTCACCTAAGCTCATACAATAAGCACTGTAGAAACATGGCTGGAGTTCAGGCTCCTGACTTTGAGTTCTGGATCCTATTAACTCTGGCCATTCCAGGGAAATGAAAGGTAAGGGTAAGCAAGTTTCAACAATAATCCCAATGCATCCCTGTTGAGCATTAACTGGACCAGTCTAAAGAAAGGGGTGGAAGTCTCTCGCGTAGAGACTATTTGAGATTTCCTGGATTCCTCATTTTGACACCAAATGCTCTGTGGGACCAAATGTGATTTAAAAAATTGTTAGAGTGTTTGTATGTGGTTTTTTCCTTTAAAAAATAAGACTAAGGGGGAAAAAGGCTCCCACAATTTTTTGGCTCTCTAGCAACTTTTACAAACAGTGGGGTGATGAAAAACACATGGCCCACAGTTCAGTGGACAGTTATGGGGGTTTGCCGCCCCCTAGAGAACTAGAAGGTCGGGCTGCCCTCCTCCAGGGGTCTCGGGATGCAGGCCATCTGACCTCCCAGCTCGGGTCAGTGGGAAGCAGGCAAGGCTGGTGGCTGTGTCATGGGCAGAACAGCAGGTGTCCCTTTGTGGGGATGCACTGGCTTGGTGACATTTTCTGAGAGGCAACCGTGGCCCCAGTTGGACCCATATGAAGGCACCCAGAACTCCGGGGGACTCCAGCAGGTCTCCTATCGATGGCTCCCATTGGTGGCCTTTTGGAGATGTGCATTTTAACAGTTTGGGGGCTCTGCTGCTTGGACAGGGCAGGCAGCCGCATCACTGACAGGGCCGGAAAGCGTTTTGTAAGAGCTCCTATGGACAACCGCGGTGCAGATGAGGAGGCACCCCAAAGCAGCAGGGCTCAGGACAGTAATAGAGGTGCGGCCCCACCCAACTCTGCTTAGCTCTCTTTGGATCATGGAAGCATCTCAGAATCTCAAGAAATGATAATGGATCTGATGATGGCTCTCCTCAGGGAGAATGAACATGTGCCTCCTCTGGAAGGGCACACAGCTCTGGGGGTCTCATGGGCCCCCGTGGTCCATTGTGGATATAGACCGAGGACCCCTGAGTAAGAGAAACAGCCCAGCACAGTTGGACTGGGGGTGGAGGGAGCCTGACTAAGGTGGGGGAGCAGGAAGGGCTCTTGGGTCATCCTTTCTCAGAAGGGAACTGAGGCCGAGAGCAGAGAAGGGACGGTTCGAGGGGTCACAGCAGATCGCTGGCAGACGCAGAGTGGACCTCGGCATCTGGGCTCAGCCCAGCCCTGCCCGCCCGCACCCACCGGCCTGGCGAAGGACCAGGTGGAACGCTGCCCCTCACTGCTTCAGGCTTCCATCCCTCCCAGCCTTGATGGAGGCACTCACCCCTGAGTGTGGGCATGACTCCTAGAACAGAGCATAACGTCACCACAGAATTTCCCCTCTGGGTCGCCCAGGCAAAGGCTAAACTCTACTTAGTCATTGGAAACAGCACTTACTTTCTCCTGTGGGATTTCAAACCAGCACCAGCAAAAAGTCCCAGGGGAGGCGGAGGGAGCCTGAGCCCCTCAGGACCCTTTCAGCAAAGGGCTGGCTGGTGGCCCGCTCAGAGACGTGGGTGGCTTCTGGTGGTGGCTGAGATGGGTGTGGTGGGTGGGGGCTGCCCAGCTGATTTAACTAATGCAATTATTTCAAGTCTACACTTGGCAGTTTCCCATGGGCTTGGGGAAGCTTTCCATTCTTGGAATGAGCATAAAACATCCTGGTGTGGATGACAAAGAATGCTTTTTAGGAAGAATGTATGAATCTTCCTGGCTTAATCAGAGCATTACTGAGTATTTCAATTTAACAGCGGTTTGCTAGACGTGCGACCTTAGGCAAGTTACTCAACTGCTCCATGCCTCAGTTTCCCCACTTATAAAATGAAAATAAGGATACCACCTATCTCTGAAGGCACTCCATGAGGGCTATGTATTGATAAAAATAAAACCTTAAAATAAATGCAAGATGGTGGTTTTTAACAGTCGATTTCCACTAATTTAATTTTACCTACTGAGCATGCCCTCAGTTATTCCTACCACTCTCTCCCCTTCTCCCTGTCACCGCCTGAGGTCAGCCACACAGTCCGTCTCACCAGGACACCCCCAGGTGGCTCCTCCTAACTGGTTTCCGCACCTCCAGTTTTTCCATTCTCTGCCTTGCTCAGGTTCTCCCACCCCCAAAGTAAGCCTGAAAACTGACCCCCCCCAACACCTTTGTTTATAACTTTTCAGTGGCTATCCTACAGGATACAGTCTGTGCACGCCTTGCTCTGTATGCAACATTATTTTTCTAGTTAAAAAGATTTTGATTGATTTAACCCCTGATTACAATGTAATATAATGAACAATATTTTCCTATGGGAGTGGCTTCTTTATTCAACAAGAACCTACAGCCTCCAGTCGTTCTCTTTCCTGTGCTCATTTCCAAAGAGGAGCTGCTCCCCATCAGTTTTCTTGTCTTTCATGATGGGCTCCTACCACACCTGGTCTGTTTTCTGCTCTTATTCACACTCAGTGCAGTTTTGAGTCATGGGTTCCCTCTCTTCTGGCTTGTTTGCATTTTGTCAGCCTTTCAGCTCTTGTTCTAAAATGAGGGAGGCTTTGCCTTCACTTATGGATCCTTCAGGTAAAATGAGCTAGAGAAAGGACTGATTTAGGGGGACAGAGGGGTGGTAACCTTCCCACTGATCTCTTTAAGAGGGAGCAATCAGCTCCACTTCATAGGATTTCTACTCTTAGAAGCGGAGTTTGGGGAGCAGTTCTGAGATTGGCTGCCCTTTGGGTGTGGGGAGGGTCATCCTGGACTCTCTTTGAAAAGAGGGTTCTATGCTCTGGACTGCAGAGGCTTCCTCAAAGCCAGCACTCTGCTTCTGTGGTTCCCACATGGGCCCCTCCCAGTCATTCGCTCCAGAAATAAGCAGCTCATTACTTTTCAGGGGTCAAAGTCTCCTCCAGGAACTCCTCGATCTTGTTGACATCTGTCTTCACATCCCCGTTGAAGGTCAGGAAGGGCGGATGGGTGCCGGGGGCTAGGTTGTGCAGGTCAGCTGGCTTTCTGTGGAGAGCAAAGTTCAGGAGGGGGCTTATACCAGGGCACTTCATGTTCCGGGGAACCTGGGACTTAGTAAATTAGACTCCCTGGGCTGCCCAGCATGTCAGCAGAAACAGCCTTATGCTGTCAGATACAGGGCAGGGGAGGTCGGAGAAAGTGCTGAAGGGCTGTGGTGTGACACAGAAAGCCTGTCCCATAGAAGGCAAGTCAGTGAGAGAGAAGCAAGTCAGGATGAAGGGGCTGAGCCCCACTGAGAAAGCAGAGAGTGATCGCAGCGAATACCTAAATTAACACCCTGCTTCCAATGCCCAGGGCAGAGGCTGGCCTTTGCTTTCAACGTTCCTTCACCAATGAGCTTAACAAAAATGCATGACACAGAATTCCAAACTTTAAAACTTAATGGACTCAATCACACTTTTATACTAAAAACTGTCATCTGCACTGTTAAAGGTATGTGCAACTGGAAAGAGAGTGACCTTGTGTTTGACACGGGGCCCTCATCTTGCGCAAAGGTGTGCTTCTGTGCTTCCAGCAGCTGGGCAGAAAGCAAGGGCCAGGGTGGAGTGAAGGAGAAAGGTTGGCAGATGGGGGGGAATAGGGAGCAACAGTTTCCTTGCACTAAGAAAAGAGTAAGGAAGAGGAAGAATAATGGCGGAGACTTCTGCAGGCAGCACTGGGCGTGACATGCACCCGGAATGCGCTCTCTGAGGGAGCAACCCTTCCTGTGGGAGTCAGGAGTGGAAAACATTAGATGGAAGAACTGAAAAAAAAAGTAGACCATGGGGGCAGAGGACTCTGTAATGAAACAAATTCCTGGCATAATCCCTTTGGGAGAGGAGGGGAAGAATTTCAATTAGGGTGCCACTCCCACAGCTGTCCCCAAACACTCAGACCCTCCAGCTGCGCGCTGTGTGGCGCTTGGAACTCCTTAGGCAATCGAGATTGAAAGTATTTTTAAAATCTAATTTACTTAGTCCCTTTGTTTACTTTGTGTGTGTCCCTCATTTCAGACAATGCGAGAACATTCTTTACCTTCTCCTGTTTTTTTGGTTTTTTTTTTTTTAGAGCTGGCACAATGCTTGGGTTCTCGGCTTGGTGGGGAAATTCATACTGCTTTTATTTTTTAGCAACTACCTCTCCAGGGCTTAAAGATGCAGAATTTTTTTTTTCCTGTGACTTGAGAGAACAATGGCCCCTGGAGTCAGGCATCCTTGGGAAGTGCGTCTGCCGCTGTTGAAGCTCAGGTGGACTCTCGACAGCGACAGCGGGAGGCCGCTCAGAGTGGTCCTCTCTCTTTGTTGACCTTTAGCATTTCCAGTTGAAATGACATAATTGTCACTTAATTACCTATTGCAGGGTCTGATTGACAGATTATTTAATGTATCTTGGTCCCCATTCCCAGGCTGGATGGCTGGCTCTGTGAGGGCAGAGATGATGCCTAGGATAGCTGACAGGTGTGGAGTTTTTGCTCTAAGCCAGGCACAAACCTGAAGGCAAATGCTTTACAGGGCCTGCCTCACCAAATCCTCACAGTAACCATATAAACAAGGCATGACTCTTATTTCCATTGTACAGATGAGGAAACTGAGGCTCAGAAAAGTAAAGGAACTTATTCAAGGCCACTCAGCCAAAAAATGGTGGTGCCAGGATAAGAAGTCACGTTTCTTGAAAACTGCTAAACTTCGTAGTAACATACACTTGAAAAAATGTCCTTCATTCTTTATTATATATTTGTGTATTTTTTGTTTTCATTTTTTTCTTCTTCTTTTTTTTTTTTTTTATTTTAGGTGGTAAGACAGTTTCCTTATCTATAAAACTGGAGTTTGGATCCTTGCCTGACATCTCCAAGGACATTGGCAGGACCAGATATGAGCACAGATAGCGAAGAGCTGCACAAGCGTCTTAGGAATGCTGGGAGGCTCCCTGCCCCATTCTGATCTCCAGCCAAACACAAGCCCACTTCCACAGGTGATAATCCAAAGACCTCCTCATCTCCATTGACGGAAGTTATTATTTCAAACTGCATAAATCCTGGCCCTCTTCAGTTGTCACAGATAATAATTGCATAGCAGGTGCATGTTAATTTACTTGACAGGTATTAGTTGGGGGCCTCAGTGAATCAGCTGCTATGGTGAATACAAAGGAACTTAAAACATGATCTCGGCCCATCTTTGAGGGATCTCAGGTCTCATTTGAAAGGTGAGCAAACTTCATAACAGATGCGTTTTGAGGAGCACGGCATGTGAACCAAGGAGATGGGTGTTTAGTAGCAGCCCCTGCAGTTCCAGTGGGGTATCTCGGACTAGGCATTAAATGCATCCATCTCAGTCTCCTTGTGTAAAATGAAGAAATAAGTCCTTCTCCACGGGTTGCACATTATGTGATTGTCCATGGGAAAGTACCCCCAGTGGAGAACGCTGGGGTTGCAGATACTGTACATCAGTGAAATGCTAAATGCTGATGGCCAGGTGACATGGACAATAGGGGCTGGGTGAGACCAGGGGAACCTGGAGTGGTCAGTACTGTCCATTCAGGAGGGTGGGGACAGCCACTGTGGGGCAGAGGGAGCATCCTGGCCAGAGGTGGGGGGCCAGGGGGAACAAGGCAGCAGAACATGGCCAACCTGGTAGAGGTGAACAGGTCCTGGCGAGAAGCGCTGGGGGCTAATGTCGAGAAGAAACCAAAAAAAAAAAGACAAAGGAGGGCAGCAGAGGCATCTATTCCAAGGGCAATGGGAAGTTCAGAAGGTTCTCTGAGTAAGGGGAGCCACAAGATTAAAGGGCTGTTTAGGAAGAATAACCTCAGGGCAATATAAAGGATGGATCAGAGAGAGACGGAAAGAGAGAAAGGTCATCCGGAAGGATGAAGAGCAGTTAGAAGAACAAAGAAGGAGTTGGGCTGGTAGTGGTGGGACCTGAACGGGGTGTGGGGCCTGAGAATGGACCAGAGAGCTTGGAGGTAAGAGACAACACAGTGGGAGAATGCCCGGGGCTTCGTGGCTGCTTGACCCTGCAGCTGGCAAGAGAAGGGAGCTAGAGACATTGAGGTGCCTAGAAAGGGGAGCGCAACTCAAAGGAAAAAGTGCCAGATACAATTTTTGACATGTAGATTTTAAAGAGACAATGGAAAATGGAAGTCTAAATATCCAGAAGATAGCAGAGTTCTGAGCATAGGATAATTTGCACACAAGCAACAGGGAGAGTATGCTGAAGGCGAGCAGGCAGAGGCAGGCCACAGAGGCTCGGAGAGCGAGCCCGGGGTTATTCCACATGTACGGGGCCAGCAGAAGAGAAGACTGACGGGTGTGGCCCCTGATCATGACGGATGCCTGGTAGTTTTAACAGCCACTAAATCTTCACTTAAAAACAGAACACTAGTAACTCTCTCCCAGCCTGTAATCCCAAACTCTCACACTAAGGATTCTAAAGATGGGAGCATAGCAGGGAAATGGTCTGGATGCCAACTCTGGAAAGTCAGACTCTTACACCTGAAGTCCTGCCAGGGACATCAACACTACTAGAAGGGCCCACTCCTGATTTTTGGTCCATGCCCGGCCTGTGCCAGGCACTCTCACTTGTGTATCCAATGTCCATTCCTCCCTTCTTTCTTGCTAATCAATCTTCTAGGAAAAATGGGCAGAGAAGTGTTCAGTCCCAAGAGAGATACTGGCCTTTCAGCCACCCCTGGAGCAAGGGGAGGGCCCTGAGACACAGTCGTGACAATGAGGTGTGAGCAGCAGGCTGTGGGAAGCCATGGAAATTTCACCTTTCCTTACGGGAAGGTCTCTGTTCCTGCAGTTAAACATAGTCCTCATGGATACAGCATCTTTTACCTTTTCAGATCCACAGTGGTGACATTGAACACGACTCCCTTCAGCCAGAGGATCATAAAGAGACGCTGAGAGAAGGGACAGTTGCCGATGCTCTCCCCATCAATTCCAGCCTAGAAAGAAGAGAACCAGAGTCCTGAGTTGGCATGTGTCTATTAGCAAGAAGGAATATAGGATTATAACCCCCAAACACTGGTCTGAGGAGAACTGACTAAATCCATGTCATAGCTAACTTTAAAGGGTAGTTGCCTTATATTTATTCTTTGTTATCTTCCTAAGTCTGTGCAAGACAGTGCCTGGCAAAGGGTAAGGGCTCAATAAATACATGCTGAACTGAATTGGAACTTCCAGCATGGAGATTACATAATCCTAACCTTCTGAAACTGTAGAACCCTAGCATCCCAGGCTAAAAAGTGACCTTCAACATCACACAATCTAATATAAATGATGTCAGACTAGCAACTTCTACACTCCCCAGGTAACCATATAGTTTATAATTAAATATCTTCTTTCACCAGTAATTTATATCTTTCAAAGCAGTCTATTCTGGGGGTAGTTCTAACAATTAGAAATGCTTTCCTTTGGCTATACCTAGCCAAAATACATTCCTCTGTAGTTTACCCTCTTCTGTCCTTTGGTTCTTGCTCTATGATACGTCACAAGTATGAATATCTCAGACTTTGATCCCTTCTCCCTATATCTAGTCAGTAGATTTAAGACTTTGATCAATACCTCACCTAGTTCCAGTGAGTATTTGACCTTTAGGATCAATAAAGCAAGCATTTATTAAGTTATCCTTTTACTGAACAAATACATATTGACTATTAATTATGTTCAAGGCACTGGAGAAATTGCACAGGGGAGTCAAAAATGCATTTATGCAAGGAGCTTATAGCCTTCTGTGGGGTGAGCTGGGTGGTAAGACAGGAATACATGTATGACGATAACAAATAGCTGATTGAGTGCCTGTGTACATCTGCTCATTGCAGTCTCCTCAGTACCCTCAGCAAAGCAGCGTGTTTTTTTTGTTTCTTTTCATCTGCAAGGCCAATCTTCCTCAACTTCTGGATGAGCGGCAAGAGACATGAACTTTCTAAGGACTTCATTTTCAGCAAACACACCAACAAGAGAACAGGTTGAGGAGCTGATCTCTATAATTCACTTCCACTGAGCGGTTTAGGGGCCGCCCACGAGGCACTGGAGGGAGAACTCTCCCACCCACTCCGGTGGGCTGTGGGCTGTCCCTGGAAACCGTAGCCCTGCCAGGTGGCTGGAGCAGGGCTCCTCTGACAGGAAGGCCCTGGGGAGTGAGGGCCCTCCAGCTCGCTCACAAGCTGCAAACAAACCACACGAAATCCTGCAGGGAGGAAAAAAATGCCATCCCAAAGTGCAACACCGGATTTTTCCGCTCGAGGTTTGTTTTGCTATGGTGCTGGGACCGGGAAGCAGCATGCCTACTTTCATAGTGAGAGCCTAATAGTGTGCGTATTTCTACTGTGCACATCACTCCCAACAGGAGCTCAGGTTCATAATGGAAAACTGGTGCCCTTGCCAGTGTTGGTTGTAGGTAATTGCTATGAAATGATGGTTAGTTTACCTCTCTTAACAGCACTGAGAGTTCTGTCCCTATTCAGGTCTCACTTTCCTCAGAGCTGGAAACAGACCCACCCCCGGACAGCTGAGGTGCGGGCTCCGTCCCATAAACTCTGAGAGGTGGGGGTGCACAGTGTGGGTGCCACGCATGCCCACAGAGCTAAAGTGACCGATAAAGCACATGGGACAGGCAACTGTTAATTTAATAATAGCTTGGTGCCAACTTGCGTTTATGATGTCAGTTCTCTAAGACCTTCCTGAGAAGCACGCCCTCCAGGCACCTGGTTCTTGGTCCTTTAAGACATCCTGACAAAGGAACTTTCCCCCAGAGCCAGTTATAATGTAACTGGCAGTGGAGAATTAAAAAACAAAAACAAAAGCCACAAGCACATACTGTCACCTGTTGCATCTCTGGGGGTGGGGGCAGTGGGGCATTGACGGAGGAACTAGTACAATGCTGCCATTCTTATTAGCTGGATGAAAATGTAATGATGTTGATAATCACAACTAATGTGTGTATTGTCAGGCATCGCTCTCGGTGCTTTCCATATAATATCAACTCATTTATTCCTCATGAGAAGTCTATGTAGTGGGATATTATCACTCTTTTGCAGATGTGGAAACTGAGGCACAGAGAGGGGAAGTAACTGACCTGAAGGTCCCTGGATTGAAGCCAGGGGTTCTGGCTCCCAAGACGGCCAGTGCTTTGAACCGCTGTGCCCTGGTTCATCCTGAGGACTTGGACCGGTACCATGCTGGCCGGGAGCTGATGGCACTGGAATAGTGTGCACACATCCCACCCTTCAGTCCATGTGCACACGGCTGTGCCAGCGAGTAGAGGGCAGTGGCTCTCCAAGCTCCCCCGCATTTTCATTATCCTCATAAATTATAATTCTAGGCTTAGGAAACAAAAGCTGCCACAGGACCAATAGAATAGTATGTGAGGATTCTGCCGTTTACCCTTCAGTCTTTGCATCCCTCTTTCAGCTTCCTCTCCTCTCCTCTTTTTCTCCTTTTTTTTAATTCTGGTAACAACACGTAGTGTGAGATCTACCCATATATATTTAAATGTACAATATATTACTGTCAACTGTAAGCACAACGTGGGACAGCAGGTGTCTAGAACTCATTCATCTGCATAACAGAAACTCTGCTCTCTTGGCACAGCGGCTCCTCCTGTCCCCTTCCCCGCCCCTGGCAGCCACCAGCCCACTCTGTGACTCTGTGACTTTGCCTGTTTTGGTTACCTCATGTAAGTGAAGTCATGCAGCGTCTGTCTTTCTGTGACTGACTTAATTCACTTAGCATAACGTCCTTGAGGTTCATCCATGCTGTCGCATATTTCAAAACTTCCTTCTTTTTTTAAAGCTGAATTGTGTCCCATTGTGTGCATACAGCACAGTTTCTTGGTGCATTCATCTGCTGATGGACACGTAGGCTGTTTCCACATCTTGGCTACTGTGAACAGTGTGACAAACGATGAACATGGGAATGCTCATATCTCTTTGAGATCCTGATTTCAATTATTTTGGAATAATAGCTGAAAGTGAGATGGATGGATCATACATAGTTCTACCTTTAATTTTTGGAGGAACCTCCATGCTGTTGTCCATAGTGGTGGCACCACTTCGCATTCCCGCCAACAGGGCACAGGGTTGCGATGTCTCCACATCCTCAGCAATTCTTGTTACCATTTGTTTTTTCCAGGACAGCCATCTGGACAGGTGTGCAGGGATATCTCATTGTAATTTTGATTTTCATTTCCCCGATGATTAGTGACATTGAGATTTTTCCATATGGCTGTTGGCCATTTATATCTTCTTTGGAGAAATGTCTCTTCAAGTCCTTAGCCCATCTTTTAGCCTGCTTATTCATTGTTTTACTACTGTCTTCAGTAGTCTTCCTTTCCTCCCTCACACCAGTTGTGTGGCCTGGATAAATCATTTATAAAACTGATGGGTTAAATGAGGGGTACCCGTGGCAACCACTTGAAACATCAGTCATAAAGGGACAGGTAGGGCTCACTGGGACCCCAGGCCCTGAAAAGTGTGAGGGAAAATCCAGATGCATTTTAGTCCACAGAGGCTCCAAGCAATGGGGGTTGTAGACAGGCACAAAAGTGGTGTACTAGGTTGAAAAAATGTTCCCCCCAAATTCTTGGCCCCTCAGAACCTGTGAGTGTAACTTTATTTGGAAAAGGGGTCTTTGCAGATGAAACTAAGATTAGATGAAATTATATTAGATCATGATGGGCCCTAAATATGACTGGTACCCTTATTTGGACTCAGACATGCAGGAGAGAAGGTCGTGTGAAGATGGAGGCAGAAACTGGAGTGATACATCCATAGGCCAAGGGACACCAAGGATTGCCAGCGAATATCAGAAGCTAGAAGAGAATCCTTCCCTAGAGCTAGAGCCATGCTCTTCGCTGACACCTTGATTTCAAACTTCTAGCCTCCGGAACTGTGAGAGAATAAATTTTTGTTGCTAAAAGCCACCAAGCTTATAATTATTATGGCAGCCCTAGGAAATGAAGGCAAGCCACCAAGTGTCAAAAGGAGAATGGTGTATAGCTAATGGCGGACTTCCCAAGTGCCTGATTTGCCCTGGGCCCAGTGTGCATGCACACAATTGCCAGCCAGCTGTAACCCCAAAGTACCTCCTGTTCCCTAGACAGTATATTTATTTACTGTAAGTTATTCTCTACTATATTATATGCTATCAATTACAATGAAACTTTTTATAAAATATTACATAGTTTATAATGTTACATATAATAACAATGCAGCATAATGTAATTATATAGGTTGTATGATTATATATTGCATGCTATTTACTGGCTAAGTCCCACTATATGCTATGAGATAATGCCTTTCATGTAGTCTCTCTCTAGATATGGTGAGCTTGGCTACCCCCAAGACATGGGCTATTTTATTTACTTTGCTTTCTGCAACAACCATCAATGTACCTGAAACTTAGTCGATATACTCAGTGCCTTTTTGAGGGGATACATGTTGAGGGAAGGGTGCTATCACGGTATTTCACAGCTTAAGTATTTCAAGATAGTGATGTTGGCATTCTTAGGTGCATCTTGAGAAAAAAGCTTGGGTTGTATAACACATGGTAGCAGGAGATTATAGTTCTAGACCCTTCTCTGCCTCTAATTTGCTGTGTGAACTTGAGTAAGTCACCACCCTTTCTTGATTCCACAATCGCACGTATAAATTCCTGCAGTTTTGTGAATGCAAGTAGCTAATGGAGATTTTATTTAAGACAGCATTCTCAAATTTCTTGGTCTCAGAATGCTTACGTGCTTTTAAAGATTCTTGAAAATATCAAAGAGCTTCTGTTTATGTGGATTATAGTTATTGATATTTACTATTATAAATGAAAGCTGAAAAATATTTTAAATATTTATTTACTTATTCATTAAAATATAATAAAAATAAGCCTCTTTTATGTTAGCAGAAATATCTTAATATAAAGAAAAATTTTTTTAAAAATTGAACAAGAAGAGTGG